CCATTTAAATAAACAGTTGTGTGGTTGAGATCAACACTCATCATGAGTCACTTCACAGTCTTGTGAGCTGCTGTGATGGGCCACACGTGTGATGATTTGGACTGTATTAATACAGCAGTCTTTAGTGGCTTGCCGATCGGATAGATGCAATAACAGTTACGCTAAGTAAAAGCATTTCGAAGCAAGATGAAACATGACTCCATTATCTCGGTCTAACGGAGAGATATTTTCTTTCAAATGAAAATAACGTTGCTCTGTTGAATTATACACACGTGTCCGAATATTTTGTCTGCAGCCACTCTCTTTTAATTATATTTAGAGAACAGTCATGGGTTTTGAAGATGTATCAGATGAATCATGGTTGAGTTCACTGAAAAACAAAAAAAAATTGTTTTCAATAAGATTCTCAATAGGACTGTAACGTACGGACAGAGGCGGTCGGATCCATGTGCAGAACTTTATTAAGAGGGAACATCAGAATCGAAGTCAAACAGGCAAAAGTCGGGGCAGGCAGCACAGGTTCATAAACAGAGTCCAGATAACAGGCTAAGGTCAGGAATCCAGGGAAATACAAAGAACTAGAAACAGAGAACAATGCTCGGAATGGTACGCTTACGCTATACAATACTTCGCACCGGACAAAGGAGAAACACAGCTTTAAATCAGGAACTCAATAACCAATAATGAAACACAGCTGAACATAATAAAACATAATGAGTCCATGAGGAAAACATAACACAATGAGATAGTGCCCTCCAGTGGCTCTCGAGGGCACTACAGCTGCCGATCGTCACAAGGACTTTTAGAGATTTATGTTTTAGAGATAATGGCCCTCATTTATCAAAAGTGCGTACACCAAATTTCCAGCGTACACCTGGCGTACACCCAAAACCACGGTGACTTTGAAATTTATCAATATGGACGTTGGCGTATGGCACGCTCAAATCCTACGCCAGCTCAGGAGGTGGTGTACGCACGTTTTGAGTTAGTGCGGAAATGCGCAGAAAAACAATTCCTAACACCACAAAACGCACTGACAAACTAAAAGATATGATATATTATGACCCACAGTAAAACAAAAAAAAACAAAAACATAGTAATTATTTACTTCAGTGTTTATTTTTGTGCAACATGGACTTCAATGTTTAATTTGTGTGACTTTACCAAAGCATTTGATTTATAAGCGTATTCCTTCAGTTGCGAGCCTGTGCGCTTTACCCTGACGTTTCATGGTTAGGATCGGCAGGTGCGCACGGACTGAGTTCGGTAACGAAAGGCTTTCAATGACCAACAAATAATTCAGACTGACAAAATAATAAAAAATACATTCTTCTTCTTTTAAATAATAATAATAATACAAATAATAATAATGACATTCTTCTTCTAAATAACAATAAGCGTCATTAATAATACAAATCATACTAATAATAAGAAGCATATTACAAATTGTCATGCAATTATTAATGTGAATGAATGGTAGGCCTACTCCACATCACATCATCATCATCACTATTGTACACACCAATACATGTAACGTGATTCGAAATTGAATGCTAATTCAAAAGACGTGCTGTAAAATATTGCATTGTGATAGGTCATTTCGCCTGCACGTCAGAGAAGTTTCTCTTCTTTGCCGTCTTCCGTGTGTCCATGGCGTAAAATCAGGGCGTGGGGGAAGCGGAGACTTGAATATATAGGGGCGTGTTATTCTAATGACGATCGTTTTTAGCCGCGGGATTTATCAAGGGCAGGTATTGCGTACACCTGGATTTCAAAGATACACACAGCTTCATAAATCAGGCGGTGAGAGGAGTGTAAGCATAATCTTACGCCAACATATACGCTTGTTTCTACGCAAGAATGATAAATGAGGGCCAATGTCTCGAAGGGTTAGGGGTTTACACACACACACACACACACATTTTAAATAAGACTTGTTTAAAAAAAAAAAAAAATTAATTAATCTGCTTTTTAGTCCACTACTAAATCTAGCAATATCAAAAAAATTCCTTGAGCTTGAATTTAGTAAATGGAAAAAATATTTTATGGTATAGATGTTCTCCATATATGTTAGGTTTTACAGTGTTGAAAGTCTATGCTGCCTAAAAATAGCTCGCTGTCACAAGTCACATAATAAGAGTAAAAGCCTGTTTTGATGATACAGAACAAATAAAAGCATCTTGCACCAATTTTATCCAATACAGATGCCATTGTTGATAAAATCATGCTTTTAGGAAAGCTATAAGTTAAACTTGCAATCGATAAAATTGTGCCTCTTCAAGAATAAAAGTCAATTGAGAATGAGTCACTGTCAAACTGTGCAGCATGCTGAAAAAGAGTCGCTGGGCCTGTTTCAGAAGGTAATCTATCATCAAGCTAGACTTTCTTTAAGGTACGACCACAGCATTGAGCCAGAGACATCCTAAAGTCCTATCGAAATGTCACATTCCTGCTTTGAGACTTTGAGTAATCCAGTCAAGGATCAGCCATATGTTGAAAGGGCACAGGGCAGATAGGGGAAAACAGATCAGAAGTTTTCTAAGGGAAAAAACCTACAAGGAATCTCATTGCCTCCAGGCAACGCTGGGATGCGCCTCCAATCTGCTGATCCTATCAAAAACATAATCTCTGGAAAATATCAAATGCACGGTCTTGGACGGTATCAGGCACACATCAACAGAAATAATCCCCTTCAGACAGTCATATATGCTCAATATTTTATCATTATTTGATTTGACTTCAATTGGTGGAACATGCTAGACAAACAGTATTGAATCTAATTGTGGCTGTTTATCTGAGGAGGTCGTCATATTAAAGGAGGTGGTCTTGATAATGTCACTGTACCGATTACTGGCATTCAGCATGACGGCACCTTCACAACACTTTAGAAGAGGGTTAGCAAGTAGGCCTACTTACTGAAGGCGTCACAACTAGAACATTCTGTTAAAAAAACTATTGGATAAAAAACTATTGGATAGAAGTACCAAATAAACAAACAAACCGCACACAGATATGTTTAGTGAAAACTGCAGATGGTGGACACAATATTTAGTGCTGCATGTGCAGAGAGACCATGTCAAAAAGCACATTAAAGCATCTTTTAAAAGGCGCTCGAGCAGTGTTTCTGGTTTACTTGTGTCAGCATCACAAACTATTGAACAAAAGAAAGATGAGATTATCATGATGATGCTTTTTTTTCTTTTTTTTTTGTAAATTTGCGGGACTTGCTGTTGTTACAAACTGTGAAGGTTTGTCACCATCTAGTGGTCAGAGAGAAAATTATATCAGTGTATCTACCTTTGTGTTTAGCAGCAGTTGCTTTCCGTCACTCACTTTCAAATGGCCAGAACCTTGACTGTGAAAAAAAAAAAAAAAAAAAAAATTAGAAGCAAATTGCAATGTCCACAATTCATATTCACACCTTAAGACCGGGCGCGGGTGACTTCTATGGTGACTTCTTGATTGTATCGAGGCTTCCGGTCTCATCCGCTTCCGGTTAGCTGTACAAAAACTATCGCGTTATGCTGCACTATAACATTAAAATTACTTTTACGGTAAACGCACTATTTGTCATAATCAACATGTATCATTTCCTAAAATATTTTACAGTGGTTCTTCTAACTTTAATTAGGTATAATATCCCTGTAAAATTAACAGGTCTGCCAATGGTAAATTGATCTTGTGAGAAAGAGAGAAGAAAAAACAAAAATAATCATGTGTTTTTAGGTTTAATGCATCATTGATTAGATTCACATTTGTACAATGATCCATCTGTGAAGTAGCACTGAACACCGATTTCCAGTCAAATGTTTGACAGAACTTTCAGATGAAAGAAATGGAGTTCAGAATTTCATAAATCCATTTTATTATGAAAATTTGTATTATGATTTTATTATGAAAATTTGTAAATTATTTGTCTTGTATCATACAGTGTAACAGACCATCTCCCACAGGAAAAGTCCATTGGATGCCCCCAATAAATGGACCTTTGGACAAGAATTACAAAACCCCAACATAAAATAAAACAAAACTACTGCAACGCAGTGCCATTGCTAGGCTGTTTCCAAATACGATCATAATTTTCTCTAGTTTTCTTTTTTTAATAGAAAGTGAAAATCCACAGTAAGTATTATAGGTTAGTATAATCATTCAGACTCGTATAATGGAGAGCACAGGAAATGCTTTAGGTCTCCAAGTGCAATATTCATGATTCAGTTTAAGAGGGTATTTTGAGTTATTCTAATATGATATTGTTGGATAATGAACACTAAGTCAATAAACTAGTTAAAATCCTCAATTTCACTATTTGTTTGCAGGAACCCGAGTACTGAAATAGTGCTGCCCATAATGGCTCTGGATAAGTTTAAACAACAACAAGCCATTCAAATATGAAATCAACATTAGTATTTTTTGCATTCCATGACTTGTCAAGAAAATGATAGTTTGCCTAAAAGAAAAGCGAAGACTGCAAAAGACAACCTCAACCATTATTTGCAACTATTATAAAATGTTTACAATGGCTGCATTAGAGTTATAACCATGATTGAAGTCATTTCTCCATGATGAGGTAGAATCCAAACATTTCTGTGAAGACATGTGTATGGGAATGTAAACAAAAAATAAAGGCTTTCGCAATTCATATTTAAAAGCGCATTAAAAGTGACAAGTGTGATGTCAAGCATTATGTTGGTAAAAGATTTAAATAGTTCAGAAACCATATTGATATGCATTTACAATCCACTCAGAACTGTTCTGTACAACTGTTCTAGAAACTCCAGCTCCTCTGATAAAACTGTGCTTTAAGATTTGCAAACATTTCGAACTACCACAGCTGGTACAGAGAAAGGCCAGCAAAAAAAGCTCAATGGTTTTAATACCAATCATCAAAACAGTTTCTGATGAACCAGCACAGAAAAAAACGCACAAATGCATAATGCACTTCATTAAAAATTAAGCCAATGCATGCACAAGGACTGTCTAATTCACTACACGAACACAGATTTGCCATGTTTTTCAGTTGTGTGCCTACAGTCAGACAAACATTAATTTTATTCACATATTGTGCATTGCACTTTGAAGGATAAGTTATATATAACATAACATTAGTAAAAGATGATGTTTACATTCATGATATGCAAGAGGCTCCCTCAAAAGGGAATGTTAGAGTTCTCGGTTTAGAAAAAAAAGCCAAATAATAAAAGAAAAAGACACAAAAAGGACATAATTGCATGACAAAGAAAAGGAGAGGGGGAGAGATTATTAACATATTTGTGTCAATCTCAAATAAAAACATGTCCAGGCTGCATTTCACCCAAGAATACATACATTCATGTTTTCATGACAGTTACACATTTTCCTCCTAGATTCTCATTACCACATTGCCTCTGGACTTTTTACTTTTGGATTATTTTAATCGATCGTTAAATTAGCTTCTTGTCATTTAATACATTATTAACATCAACAAAGGCAGTTCAACAAAAATGATCATTATGCATATAAATACTCCATTATTTAAATAATATACCTTTTTTTTATCATTGTGATGATATGATACAGAAATGCAACCTAGACATGTTCTTGATAGGCTTTCACGAGGGTCATCCATTTAGGTCCACAAAAAGGGGGCTAAACATCATTTAGCATATAATCTTGTCTTGTATCTGCATAAAAAAAATTGCCTCTAATATACACAGGCAGGAGTCAGCTCAGCAACCCTCTCCCAAATCTCCCAAAAAGACCACAGAAGAGAAATCTCACATTTTACTATTCGCTCTGACAACACAGGTTATATAGACCCTTGAAACACAGTAGATCTTTTTAAACAGACGATTCAGTTCAGTCTGCCGACACTGCTAAAACCATCCGAGCACGTTCTACACACACAGTACGTCATTTGTCTTACTTTGCACATTATTAGCTTTAAGGTCATGACTCAATGCAGACATCTTCTGAACACGCACTGGTATGGTAGTCATAATGGAATGGACACACATCCACACAACACGTGTGCATGCGTTTAAAGAGGTCTGCATTGCCATGCTTTTTTTTTTATAGACGATTGCATGCATGTGGCGCAAAGCAAGAGAGACTGAACAGTAAATAAAGCCATTCTAAACTGGTCCATGTGCTGCGTAACTGCCGGAGGCTTCGGCTATAGCATCTCTATAGGGCTCAATAAGGCATGTGATCATACGCAAGGCTAATTCAATCTGTCCACTTCATGTGCACACACGTCAGATTCATTTCGCAAAGCACTCTGCGTGATCTGAAGTTTCCCAGAGGAATGTATACCTCATGATTTCTATAAAAAGTTCAGTTGGTTAGTATAGCGATGAATATCTTCTTTGAGTTAAAGCAGCAGCATATTTAGAATAATACATTTTTAGTGTCACTATAGCATATCACTATCTAGCAGAGTAGCGAAAACAAAGAGATTCATAAGCAAGTCTGGGACAGCGGTCAAGTCGATTCATACTCACAGAAGACGACCAAAAAAACCAAGAGAAAATGAGAATAAAATATAACTATACAGACCATTTCTCCACCTCCCCAACAAGTGGTGGAACTATAAATGCAATGGAAAAATAAATGCATACGTGTAATTATCAAGTACGTTGTACTGAGTGGCTACCCTGTGCAACAGAGAGCCAATCAGAGGTAAGAGTCCAACTGTCCATTGGCTCGAATGACTGACAGACAGAATGTGGTGTAAAAAGCTGAATCCACACAAGTCTATAGAGAAATGCACTGCTGTAAGGCTTCGTTTAGTTCATGGCTCCTCTGTTTAAAGTCTCAGTGGTTGAATTGTGTGTTTCTCCAAAGCAAGTCATCCACAGGTTAATGAAAACACCCTCTGCTTGACATTAATTCACCAACGCGAAGGAGAGTCTGGTGAATGTTTTTAATAAGGGCAAACGGAAATAGTGTTCGATCAAGAGACAGCTGCAAGATCGCAGATAGCTTGATCTCGGTGTGACATCTCACATTAAGCTCCATCTGGATACCCTCCATAAGAGCTTGCTTTCAGATAAGGAACCACAAAAAAGAAAAAAAACATAGATGGAAAGTCCATTTTGTAAAGTCAGCCAACATACAACGTCCGTGGGGTTAAAAGGGCAAAATTTCCCAGCTCAATGGTGTGTAAACAGTGCTGATTTGCAATTAGCTCTGCCATAATCACAGAGGTCACCGTCAGCTGTCGCCCTCTGCAAAGGGTCACCAGTTAGCTTTGACTGCTCTGATGTCACTCACCAAGTTCTGAGCCAGACATATCCCAAAAATCTGAAACATATTTAAAAAGAAGACATCGTAGAGGAGAAAAGAAAATAATAGCTTAAGAAAAATTACTACACACATTCAAAGTGCTCTCGTTTTCATTTTTGACTACCAGAACAGCTGAAACATCTCGACTAATCTGCAGATGTATAACACAGAAACAGTCAAGAAATATCGGGGTCATATTTAAAATGAAAATAAAACCTATTTTGCATAAAGAAAATGAAGCAAAATGAAATGATCATTAAGATTTTTTCACGCCCTTCCTTAAAGGGTTAGTTCACCCAAAAATTGAAATTTGCTGTTAATTTTTCCCCTCAGGCCATCCAAGATGTTCAGTAGAACATTTTTAGCTGAAAACATGGTCCTTCGTGACTCATAAGATGCAAGTCAATGGTTACGGTCACTTTGAGAATAAAAAAAACATACAGGCAAAACAAAATTAATATTCGTGGCTCCTGGTGATACTTTGTGGTCTTATGAAGTGAAGCGATTAGTCTGTGCAAGAAACTGAAAATTATTTAATAATGGTCTTGAGCACGCTCACGATAGTGTGGATCACAAGTTCGATCGTTTTCGCTTCTTAAGACCTCAATGTATCATCAGGAGCAACGGGTATTAATTATGTTTTGCATGTATGTTTTTTTGACTCTCAAAGTGACGGTAGCCATTGACTTGCATTATATGAATCACAGAGGACCGCGGTTTCAGCTAAAAATCTTTTTAGTGTTCGTCTGAAGGAAAAAAGACACCTACATCTTGCCTGAGGGTGAGTATATTAACAGCAAATTTTAATTTTTGGGTGAACTTTCCCTTTAATTGCAAGCCTTTGCAATATCCTTCACTTTATGAAATAATAACATATTTTAATTTTATAGTAAATATTTTAAGTATACTGTCCACTACAGTATATACACTATAAACTGTATACTAGTTTGCTGTCAGTAAGATTAAAAAAAGAAAAATCATACTTTTATTCATCATCAAGGATGCATTAAATTGACCAGAATTGACAATAAAGACATTTTTTATGTTACAAAAGATTTATATTTCAAATAAATGCTGTTCTTTTGAACTTGCTATTCATCAAAGAATCCTGAATTTTTTAAATCATGGCTTCCACAAAATATGAAGCAGCACAGCTGTTTTCAACATTGAGAACAATAAGAAATGTTTCTTGAGCAGCAAATCAGCATATCAGAATGATTTCTGAAGGATCATGTGACACTGAAGACTGGAGTAATGATGCTGAAAATTCAGCTTTGCCATCACAGGAACAAATTACATTTTAAAATATATTTTTTTAAAAACCCTTTTTTAAAATTGTAATAATATTCCACAATATTATGTTTTTTAGTGCATTTTTGATCAAATAAATGCAGCCTTGGTGAGAAGATACTTCTTTCAAAAACATTAAAAGAAAAACGACCCCAAACTTTTAAACTGTAGTGTACATTGTAGTATCTGAAAATACCACAATGCAAAAATAACATTTTATATCTTTCTTCTGATTTGGGGGGTGAAATATGACCCAGACATTTTAAGATTCACTTTGGTATTAATTAATGTTGGACCTAGATTTAAAGCTGTATTTTAAGGTTCAACCAGAAGTTGGCAGCATTTCATTCATTCTTGTGTGACCATTTTACCACTCAGGCCCCATTCAAGCAAATCTGTTCAGTTATTACTACATCTTTAACAGATATTTGCATGCGTTGAAGCATTTCCATTATCATTGTCCTTACCTGTAATAATGCAATCCCCACAAAAATCCCAGCAACAATGATCAGATTGTCCTGCAGCCACTTTTCAAACTGTCCCACGCAGCCCTTGGTGTAAATGTACTTCTGCTGATCCAACTCCTATTAAAAAGATTATTCAAAAAAGCACATCACTTAATGGAAAATGTCAGATCCAAATAAGAAACTAAATCTTCATTTAAGTGCACGGCGTGTCATATTGGTGTTCGCTCCGAGTTGACCTTTAATCTTTACACAAGTCCAGGATAAACAATTAGGCCTTCACCTGGGCGGACCTGCGCATTAATCTATTTGAGAACAAATATCCTCTCTGGAAACCTGGAGGAACTCACTCCCACGCTAAGTAGACAAAATGTCACACAGCTCACCACATATAACCTGACACATGCAGGGAAGATCCAGTTTGTATTACACAGACATACAGGAATGTCTTAACTACTGTCTATCGGATTCTGGGAAGGAAGGGAGATGAAAAGGTGTAATTTGGGGCTGTCGGTGACATTTGAAGGTGAAGAAAGAGAAAGCCACACAATCCAGCTTTTGTGAACCATACAAACTTGTTCTCCATGGAATCTTTTGTCCCCCCAGGAAAGAAGACACAAAAGACTTTAGAAACGTAACGCCAAACCAGTAGGAAGTCAGTGGGATTCAGAAAAAGCCAATGAAAAGTGGAAAATGGTTGAACAAAGAATTTTTTTCTTTGAGCAGACATTGGTTTATTGTCTTTCTAATGCCTACAGCTCAAAATAAAAAGTCAGTAAAAAAAAACATCATTACAGCAAATAAAACTTATTAAAAGGTGGATTGTAAGAGAAAGAGTATCCATGGATACAGGAGAGACGGTGGTGAACCGTGGGTGCAGTGCCACTCCACCCATGCAGGCATAAGCCGCTGACTTCCCAATTACAGAGCTCCACAATTTCTCGTGGCTAAAACTAGAAACTAATTATCACTTTTAAAGGCTTAAACTGTTATTAAGGAGGAGAAGAAGAGGAATTCAAATGCTCTCAGAATCCCTCATGCGCTTAACCCTTCTGTACTCTTTTCAAAGGGTGGTCTGACACTACACGATTTATTACTACACGATTTAACATTACATGTTTTTTCATCATTAAATATATGGTAAACCTTTACAATAAGGTCTCATTTGTTAACATTAGTTAATATATTAACTAACATGAACTAACAGGAAGCAGTATATTTTTTTTACAACATTTCAAAATCTGCCAGTGTTAGTAAATGAAAATACAATTATTCAAGTTAGTTCATAGTGCATTTACTAATGATAACAAGTACAAGTTTTCATTTTAAAAATGTACTGTTAAATGTTGAAATTAACATTAAGACGAATACAATTATTGTTCATTGTTAGTTCATGTTAACTATTGTAGTTAACTATAATGTTAACAAATTAAATCCTTATGTAAAGTATTACAAAGAATATATTATGGATGTGCACAATTGTAACATTTCTAACTAGTAATATAACACACTCACTCCTTGATGCCGCACATCATAGCCACACTGTGTATTCAGGACATCCTTCTAGAGAGAGACCAAGAAAACTTGCTCAATTTATTTACTTTTTTTGAATCACAGACTTCACAATAGAATAAAAGTACAGAATATAATTAATTGAATACAAATAAAATATATTGTTTAGTATAACATGAAAAAAAAATGTTAGGATTGAATTAAAAAAAAACCTAAGCACCCAACCGAATAGAATGTAAGATGAGAAGGGTTTTTCACATTCAACCTTTTAAAAGCCAAACAACACTATTATCAGCTAAAGATATATAAAAAAGTAACAGCTTCATTTGTTAACATTAACTACATCAGTTAACATGGACTAACAATGAAAATACCCCTAAAGCTTTTATTAATCTTAGTTAATGTTATTTTCAACATTTACTTACACATTATTAAAATCAAAAGTTTTAATATTATTTTATATAATACCCGAGATGAACATAAACTAACAATTAAGAGCTGTATTTTTATTAAATAACGTTAACAAAGATGAATAAATACTGTAACAAATATATTGCTCATTGTTATTTAATGTTAATGCATTAACCAATGTTAACTAATAGGAACTTAGTGTAAATTGTTACAAAAAAAAAGGAAACAAAACAACTAGTTGATTTATAATCTAGCTATCCTTAGCTACACTGAAAATAAAAATAAAATGCAAAACCTCACTTGTGCTCTTCCCCTAAGCTACATCCCTTAGGACTGGTTTATACCTTGTATTAAGATGCATTTTGATGGTCACTTTCGACCACTTCCAGAGGTAGTCGAAAACGCATTAGACCGGATTGTTTTCGTATGCAGACACTCATGTGTTTGAATGTGTTCAAACAGCCACAAAAGACGATTACTCTCCGCCTACTGACTTAATGCGTAAACATTATGGGAAGCGCGCTCGCCAAACGGGATTTAAGCTTTGTCGGCTGGAGACCCAAGTTTGGTTTGAAGACAAAAAACATACCAAACACAATGTTCTCACGGCATTTCTGATTTCTAACATGCACTCACGGCGTTTGGCGTGGTCTGGCGTCTATCAGAGCAGAAACAAAAGCTGCTGCTCAGTGCTCTCCGTTGATTTTTCCGTCGTCTCCAGTCGCGTTCATATGTAAATTGCACAAGCTTATTTCGCCCATTAGATCAAAAGATCTGAAAAAGCCCATGAATTTACCATAGACCCCACCCTCGAAGAAATCAGGACAGAAGTGGTTGAATGTGGACAAAAGAGATGGATTAAAACACCAGGTGTAAACGGGTATGCGTCTCCCTTGTGATCCGATCGACCAAAACGCATCTTAATACCATGTGTAAACAGGGCCTTAGCTACATTCTGTTATCCCCATAAAACAAACCAGCACATTATAGTAACACTCCATTGTTCTATGAATGAACATATGTTAGGATGTTCAGTTCAAAGCATGCAGTACAGAAGAAAACGTTTAAGATTGTGATAACACAATTAACTTGCTGAAACAGGAGCAGGAAAGAGCAAGTGGTAAACAGATGAAATGATACAGTCGTTTCTGGCACTCACAGCAGGGTCTTTGACGCAACAGGAGAAAGGAACGCCACAGCTTTCCCGGCTGGGGTTAAAGTCAGTGCAGTTGAAATAGATGTTCAGATTCCAGTCATTCGGTCCATGAGCACCACAACACGACCACTGATTTTATACATAACATCACCATTATCATCACACAGCTGTAATTTACAGTTAAACTTTTCATATAAAAAATGCATGACGACTCAAATTTTCTAGTGCACACTTACATACCATCAGTCTCATTCAAAATATATACCACAGCACAGCAGAAAATGAGAGGGAAAGAGAAGTGCTGACTCACATATTCTTGAGCAAAGTCAATGAGGTTCTGGAGGTCAATGTCATCCCGATATGCTTTAACATTGTTGTTGATGAAGAAGTTCAGCTGGTCTTTGATCCAGTCTTTGAACACGAAGGCTAAAATGCCAGCTGTGAGCTCCAGGAAAAAGATGAGGCCCAAAAACACTGAAAACTAGACGAGAAAACACACAGATAGTGGAGTCAGAACTTCATTATCCTAAAAATCTAAGTAAATCATTTTCAAGGTAAATATTTATTTAACAAAATCATTGCCATTTAAATTTCCTCCAGGAGGCATTTCAATTACTTCTGGGTGTATTCTTGTGTTATAGCCCAGCGGTCCCCAACCTCTTTTGCGCCACGGACCGGTTTAATGTCAGACAATATTTTCACGGACCGGCCTTTAAGGTGCTCCTAAAAACGCGTAGAAAACGCTAGGCGCGAGGTTGCACTCCGGAGGCGTATATCGTTGCTAAGCAACCATCAGCTGCGCTCTCCGTTACAGCAAGGAAATTTCAGCAATAGATTTCCACCACCGAAAAACCCTTGCTGTAACTCTGTTACAAGATTTATTTACTAAGAAGAGTAAAAAAAAAACGCTGCAGTGTTTGGGTGCAAGACCGTGCAACCGATACTATGAAAATGCAAAAACCATGGGGAATTTCACCAGCTGATTCAGGAGCTCCGCCTGGACAATGGGAGGTTCAAAGCCTATTTCAGAGTGGACAAGGACCAGTTTGATTATATTTTAAGAAAAGTTGGCCCAAGCATCAGTAAACGGAGCTTCTGCCGTGAAACTAACTTATCTCTCCTGCGCAACGGCTCTGTATTTGTCTGAGGTTAGACTATAACTGAAGTGGTCATAAAACACCAGAAATAGCAAACACATACACATTTATATATAGAATATAGAACAATTCTGTATAAACAATGATGGATTTAACAAGGAATCAGTTGTGAGCATTAATATTTTTAGTAAAAATATTTTTTACTAGTAACTAGTGCAGCAGTTTACAGTGTGGAAGATGATTGGTTGGTTCTTGTCACGTGATCTACAGTGCGCTTGCGGCATTCTGAAAAGTTGAGATGTTTTTATCTCGATGCGGCGCGGACGCGCTTGGAAAAAACGGGCGCGTCGCTTCCATTATGAGCGCGCATACCGCGCGCCTACATTTCAAATAACAAACTTGAGCACGCAAAAGACACGATATGTGAACAGGTAAATGTGTGAATAAATAAAACGGAAATAATGTAAGGTATTTATTCTTTCTGTGCGGCCCGGTACCAAATGACCCACGGACCGGCACCGGTCCGCGGCCCGGGGGTTGGGGACCCCTAGTTATAGCCAATTCATTTCATTTAAACGTCCATATCTGGAAACAAATAAGCCTTGAAATCAGAGACCGGGAAACAGATTGCAGAAAAATGGGAGGCAGGGCTCGCAGGCCGGATATAAGGGTGGAACTCACAAATTTGAGCAGAAACGTGTTTTCCCGGAGCGCACCGATGCATCCGGCAAATCCGAGGATGAACATCACCCCTCCTACTACGATAAACAGCCAAACAGGGTCGAAGCCGCCCAGATCTGTGATGGAGGAAATGTTTGACAGCACTCCCTGTGGGACAGACACATCAGACAGTTGTTGTAAGTTCACATCCTGACCTTAAAATCCTTCACCACCCGCAACTCTCCACGGTGATTCATGCCTTACACGTTTGGATTTCCACATCAGGGTGGAATTTCAGTTCAATCCCAGAACCAACAGCAGGTTTTAGACCATGCTTGCTGACAGTGACTATAAACAAGGTTCCTTTTTTGTGTGTTCTTGCTTTGTTTGTCATGATGGCGGAAGAATAGGCGGCTCTGAAATTCACTTAAACACTTATTTAAAATCACAATTTTAAATTCACCACCCTGAGTCCGATTCTTAATGCTTTGTTTCTGTAATTAACATTTAGCAAATGTAAAAATTAACCCTTTATTAATTATTTACATGGTGTTACCAAGATGTTCCATAATTGCCTGACATTAATACAAAGTGCCATATGGCCTACACGTGTCTTTTAGCAGAACAATCAACGACTGAAATGGAGCAATTTCCAGGTTATTAATCAGCCAATTGACTTCTAGATTCATTAAGTCGCCTCAAATTAGTGTGAAGAAATTACATTCACCTTTCATGCATGAATACATAACAGTGAGGGTGACCTTTTCTGAGAGGGACGACAAATCGGAGAGAGAATAGTCACAATAAATACAAAGCCTTATTGAGCTATGCGGCATGGTTAAAGGCCTACAACAAAAATATAACAAAGTCATTAAACTGTCATGGAAATAAATAAAAGATGCCACCCATATGCTCTCAAATGTCATGGTTTAATGGAGGTTTCAGACATCAAAAGGAGGAAAAAGCAACATGGGGGATTCACAGAACGTCTTTACATTTGGCAAAAAGAACCTTTCATAAAATAAAGCATGAAGTCCAAGAGGAAAAGATGTTAAACATTAATGCTGATGCTTTAACAGTTTGTACTTTTAAAGTGTGCTGTCTTCTTCTGTTTAATGTCTATGATTATGTTGCTCTGGCAACCACATGGATAATAATATTAGGAATTTGAGGCATGTCACCGATCGTTGTGTTACTCTGTATTTGTGTTTCCAACTTGCCTTTTCTGCCCAAGCCCAAAGTGCAATACCCAGGAATGCAGCTCCCAGCAACTGCAAAACACAACAGAATTGATCACATTTACACCACTTAAACAATTCATTCTCACTCCATAATGGCATGAGGTTACTGCTATGTGCAGACAGCACTGTGCTCTCTTTATCTGAGGGCAAAAAGAAAAACTTGGCCAAGTTTCTATCAAAGATCCGGAAAGTAGCGATTTCCCTGCACGCACTGCCATCTTTGGCATTATTTTCCTTGAGAAGGAGCCAAGACTTGTTTTTACCTGAATGAGAAAAATCACTTGGATGACACTGCTTACAGGAACCTGTTTTATTACACTGAACAAAATTATAAAACGCAACACTTTTGTTTTTGCCCCCATTTTTCATGACTTTTTCTATGTACACACAAAAGGCCTATTTCTCTCAAATATTGTTCACAAATCTGTCTAAATCTGTGTTAGTGAGAACTTCTCCTTTGCCGAGATAATCCATCCATCTTCTTCTTCTTTTAGAGTTTAACTGGCGGTTGGCAACCCAACTTAAGGTGCATGATAATCCATCCACCTCACAGGTGTGGCATATCAAGATGCTGATTAGACAGCATGATTATTGCACAGGTGTGCCTTAGGCTGGCCACAATAAAAGGCCACTCTAAAATGTGCAACTCTATGCGAAGGAGATGTGTTGCACTGCGTGAGGCAAATGGTGGTCACACCAGATACTGACTGGATTTCGGCATTCTGGCATGTCTACCCAACAAGATCCGAGGAAAATCAGATTCTAAATTGACTATCACACTTTAAAGGTATAGTTCACCAAAAAAGTCTTTCATTAATTTCTTACCCAGATTCTTCAGGAAAAGATATGTTATTGATATTCTCAGTGGATAACCACGGAGGTTTCACAAAGCAATCGGTTTAGTGGTCAACCGATATTGATTTTCTTTTTATGGCCGATGTGGAAATCTTAGGGAGCAGGATGGTTGATATATCTGATATCATATTTAATTTAAAGATAGTAAAAACACATGCTTGACAATTGCTGAAATTAAATGTATATATATCATTATTTTCATAATATTTACATTATTTGAAAATTAATATAAAAAAAGAATCAAAATAAGAGTCCTGCACGATCAAAATAAGAGTCATACTTCTGACACATCTGCTAAATATAAAAATTTATCAACCAATGCCAATAATAAAAAATCCTAAATATCGGCCAACATATCAGCCTTGCCAATGTATCGGTTGACCACTATCGTATAGACCAGTCGTTCTCAAACCTGTCCTAGGGACCCCTCACCAGGATTGTACTGTTGTTGAACAACATACCGATTGTTCAGCTGATGAAATGTCTTTCCAAAAAAAACTTTTAGTAGACAAAAACTAAGGACGTGTCCACACTTGTAGTTTGGTTCTCTTGGTCTGGACCAAAAAAGAAAATTATACATTTAGTCCTGGTTCACACTGTCATTCTTAACACCGAACCTAAAGATACTGCTTTTATGATGTAAATTTTGCAAATGTGACGGAAAATCCAAAACAATGCTGTGTGCTGGGCTAAATGCGCTCGCTGTATGCGAGTATGATGGCATATGATGGAGCTGATAACTCTTGAAGAGCTTATAAAATGTGTAAAAGAGTCAAAACAGCGGCGAGAATCCCTCACACACAAACGAAGATCTGCTGCAACGAGATGTGGTTCTGATGTGATGGGCAACATCTACCCCTTTTCCACCAACGCATTTTGAGAGCCGGTTCGGAGCCGGTGCCTGCGCGCGAACCAGTTCTTTGTGTTTCGACAGGCAAAGAACCGGTTCTCGGCCAGGAAAACTGGTTCCAAAGCGGCACCAACTCTTTGCTGGACTAGAACCGTTCTTTTACCACGTCATGCTTACGTCGGGGGCTGGGGGCGGGTTTAGATAACATATTTTCTGACATAATATAGAATCGCAAAGCCAGGAAAAACATTTGCAGAAACACGATGTAGTCCGCCATTGTAATTGTTATGCTTGAAGTTGGCGCAAGCGTTTCTAGTTTATTTTTTTTATTGAACACGTTATGTAAGCAAAGGAGAAAACAGTCACAATATAGAACAAATAAATGGAAAGAAAAAAAGACACAAGACAGGAGTACATAACTAATCAGAAAAGATTACATATCAAAGGAAAAGATTAAAAGACTTACATATTTCAATTGTTTTTAAAGCCTTCTTGGTTCACGAGTTAGAGATAATCCCAAAGTAATGTTGTACTTGCAAGCGTTTCTAGCTAAGATGTATGGCGACGTACACAGTGACGTAACGACGTCGTTCGCTGGGCGCTCTAGTCAGTGGAAAAACAAACAGGTTCTGAGAAGGTTCGCAAGTTGAACCAACTCCGAACCAACTTTGAACCAGCACCAGTTCCGAACCAGTTCATTTTTGGTGGAAAAGGGGTAATCGTGACTATGACGAGAAAAAACAGGTATGCTTGAGAATTCTGTCAATTTGTGGGTCGTATCAAGTTGTGACACCATGTCCTGTTTCTGGTTTGTTTAGATATCTTTGGTCCATGTTGCGTTCATATTTCATTTGAACCACACCAGAGTTCGTTTGGAAACAGACCGAGACCCATCTTTTCCGCAGTCTCAGTCTACTTGTTTGGTGTGCACCAGGGTTCAGATGGCAGCGTTCACACTAATTCAAATGAACTGCACTAACAGAGCAATCGCACCAGAGTTCGTTTTAATCTAACCAAACCTGCCAAATGTGAACACAGCCTAAAACACTTTTAAAAGTGGTGAAAATAATATGATACAGAACGTTTTTTACAATGCATGCCATTGTACAGACTCCTTCACAGCCTTGTTTTTATCTGCTTTAAATTCAATATTGCATCTGTGATGGATGTTTTTATTTTTTATTAATCATTACTAACATTTCTTTTTCTTGCAGGATTAATTTTTAGCTTTTGAAAATGAAATGCCCCCAACACTTTGGCCAAAAAGTCAGTGTGTGTCTGAATCAAGTCTGAATATAACAAAAGGAGAAATGAAACTAGACAGTTGTCTAAATAAATAAACTCATTGACTTTGAGTAACAAAGAGTAACCATCTTGCATAATAAAGAAAACAGGATTTGCTTTTCCCTTCTAACAGAGGGTTTGCTGAATTATACATATGAAGAACCATATTGTAAAAAAAATGATATGAAGAATCATGTCACCTTTGCCATGCTCCTATTCTATAAAAACTCTTGTACTCGTTTTTGCTGGTGGGATTCTTTGTAAAATTGGTCTGAGGTCCTCCGGCTGCGATTAAAGTATATTCCAAGGCATTGTCTGGAGTCTGTCTGATTATTGCTGTGTAGCATGCTAGACACTAGAGATCTTACTTCTATTCCCAAGTGATCGTGTTCAAAAAGGTTGAGACGTCGACAGACTCAAAGCCAGTTGTCGACTGTAGACACAGTCCTAGAGTATAAATTAGGGTTAAGTGTCGACTAGACACCCAGGTAAATGTAAGTCAGGTGCGTAGGGGAAAATCTACCACAGGTCTAACCTGACTAAGGCGAAGGTCTCAGAAAACTTCTGTGAGTCACAAATGTCATTAGGTTTTTTATAAAATAAAAGTCATACACCACTTTTATTACACAGAGATGGTACAGGAAATTAATTACCAGAAAGAGAAGAGAATGGGATGAGAATTTGAACGCGAGCACCACAGCTCAACATGTCTTAAAGGGGTCATATAATGGTACATGCACTTTTACAAGTTGATTGTACTGAAATGTGTGTTGGCAGTGCCTGTACACAACCATCATAAAATGATAAAAATCCATCCAGTGTTTTTTTTGTTTTAATCTCCTTATATGTTTTCCCCTGCCTCAAATCGAGCCGTTCGACCGTGTGACGTCACAAGGTCGAACGCCCCTCCCACGATTGTTGATTGACAGCAGCGTTTCAACACAGACCCGCCCTCGCTCGTGAGCCAGCTGTCAATCATAGTCTGCGCGGACCGGCGCGGTCATTGTTGATATGCTGGAGCACTGTCTATGAGCAGAATGGCGTCTAAGCGATTGTGGTGTTCTGTTCTTGGGTGTAATAACAAACACAGCAGTCATTTTGATGTTCCTAAATCCGAACCGCTGAAGACGCAGTGGCTGAGTTTGTTTTCGAAGGGAATATTCCCCACGAGCAACGTCAATGCTTTCATGTTTGCGCGAATCATTTCACACACCAGACTGCTTTATAAACGAGGATCAGTATAAAGCTGGTTTTGCTAAGAAGCTGCTCCTGAAGAAAGGAAGAAGCTGCCATGAATAAAGGATCGGTACCAGCTATTCGTGTTCCTGCTGAACCTCCAGAAGAACTGAAGTGAGTGTAACGTTTTATTAACCTTTATCTTAATATTTATATTAAAGGGGGGGGGGGGGGGGGGGGGGGGGTCCACATTGTAATTTTTTTTACAATGTTAAAGAGTTGGATTTTTGAATTTTTGGACAAAGTTTCAAAAATTAAGTTGTACGTTTGATTGAGTATTTCTGTTCTCAAAATACTCCTTCCTGGTTGTCACAAGTTTCGGAAAGTTTTTTTCGAGTATGGGCGCGTATGACGTCAGATGAGCCGGAAATTCCTTATACGGTCCTAAGGGCACTTCTCTTGGAAGGGCGCGCGCGCAGTTGTAGATCGATAGCCGTAACCTATGCCCATCAAAGCACTGTGCATCGGCTGCGCTGCAATATGTCACCAAAGAAGTGTGTTTTCGGTTGCCAAGGCAAGACAACACTGCACAGATTCCCAAAGAATCAAGCGTTAAGGGACCAGTGGATGGAGTTTGTTTTTCCAGAACATCAACACAGTTGTGCAAGTGTTCTTGTTTGTTCCATGCATTTCGAGGATGATTTTTTTATAAACAAGGCCCAGTTCGAAGCTGGATTTGCTAATCGTTTAGTTCTCAAGGATGGAGCAGTCCCAACAGTAAAGGTTAACGGTCTTGCGTTGGAACCGCAGGCGGTGAGTAGAACTGCTTCAAATATCTGTGTGTGTCTATCGGCGTGTAACTTAA